CTGTAATATACAAATAATTGTTAATGAAAGCCACCCTGGCAGGTTGCCCAGTCACATTTGCAGATTCTTCTGAAAGCCTTTTTGCGTAGAGGTTAAATAAACAGTGAAGGTAAAGAATTTGAACTATGAGGATGTGAGCTAGGACTGGCTGCATAGATGTTGATCTCTGTGTTCCCTCTTCTCTCGGTAAGATGGCGCCTGACGACCAAACTCCCCTCCCCTCCTTTCCTTTTCTCTCTCATTCTGTATCCCCTCCCCTTTCCATCACCCACCCCCTCTCCCCCACCCTCCATCCTCAGTGCCGGGCCATAAATCCGTTGTTGTTTATGAAAATTTACAACACACCGCTTCAACTTTACGAGTCGACTCGGCCTCCTATTGGCTGCACAGCCTGATCACGTGTCTTTGAGCCGTGAACATGAACTTTTTATATATATATATATTTTCCAATAGCAGAATAGAGCAGCCTTTCATTTAGAGGACTCAGGCTTCCTGGCTCTCCTCTCCTTACCAGCCACCGTTCTTATATAAGCTGTCTGGTCTTCCTAGTTTGGAGTATACTGTGGGTATTTCTTTCTTCTTTTTCAACAGTACAGACTCAGATTTTGGGATTTATTCACTGAGTCATGAATGGATATTTGGGGGCTTCTGTTATGCCTTGGCGGGAGAAATGGAAGGTGCCGCGGTGCGTCACTGACCCCCAGGAGTCCCGGCTTCCGTCTTGGGGCTTAGCTGGAGACTTTCCCCTCAACCCGTCATTTGTTCTGTTAACACCCAGAGGCCGTCACAAGCACAAGGTAGGGAAGCGGATAATTGCAAGCTGCACTTGTTTGTGCGTGCTTATGAATTTGCAAAAGTAAATAATTCTCCCATTATTTAAACATGCTATGTAGAAATTAATGACAGATTATCTTATTAGTATTAAAGAAATATATACTACCATGCTCCTGCAAGATTGAACTATGTTTTTAATAAAGATTTTAGTGCACTATAGTAACCAATTTGACTTAATTTGTTTGTTGTTTTGCTTTTAATGTGGTCTACAAAATCCAAACGTGCTCTTTGCTGCCCTCCTGTGGAAAAGCTTGGTATAGATTTTCCAAGTCTGCGTTCAATGAAGGGTTTGAAATCGGTTATTTCCCATGATTTAATTATGGACGTGTTTTCCATTTTATCGATGAATGTATGTTTTAAAAATTGACGCTTTAAAAAAAAAAATGAAATGACAAGCTTGGTTGGATTGAACGGCGAAACTGCAAATCTCTGCTTGGTGCCAGGACATGGTAGATTTTATATCTCTGTCTGTTCTAACAGTATTTGATTCTTGAAAATGTTTTTACACTACATTAGATTATACAGCCTTCAAATGTTAATGCGCACATATTGAATTTAATGTTTAAAGGCAATGGGGATATTGATGCTGAGCTGCAAAAACATGCTTGGAAGAGTAAGAAATATTTGCAGATTACCTTCACTTTTTCATGGAAGTGCTTTGTTATTTTATTTGCAACCAAGTTTTTATATATGGTTGTCTTAATTTTAGCAGAACCCTGAGGCGTTATGGCTTCGGTTGTTGTGAAACAAAAAATTGGATGCAGACTGTAACAAAAAAAAAAATAAAATACGGCGGTTGAGTTTTGTCTGTGTGTGTTTCTATTAATCTTTTGTAATGTTAATATTTTGCATGCTGTGTTGGGTGCAGGTCATATCTGAGCACTTAGAATAAAATAGCAATGCATTTATTGAAGCGCACACGTATTCATCAGTGTCGAAATTTACATAGAGGACTCAATGGCCTTTGCTTAGCGCAACAGATTTGTATCTCCCGATCTTATAGAACATTTTCTCGCCCAAATATAACGTGGTTCTTGCACATTAGCAAAATATTTATTTAAGCTCTGCATTTATTACTGTTTTAAGATAAAATCTGCTTCATATACGTATGTGACAGTATATGCAAATGTAAAAAATCTAAAGAAAGTGCCCAAAAATATGTTTTTCTTGATTTAATTGTGGTTTCTTGTATTTCTTATATTGCAGCTGCACAGTTCCATTTATATTGTAAGAATGACAAACGTTTTTTATGCCTGCAGAATGTCCTACTTCGGCCCACTCTTTTTCTCCTTTCCTTTATTTTGGTCTCCCTCGAGTTGTTGGGTGTGTCCTTTCTTCACCTCAAACGAGTTTCGTGGGAACTTTGTTGTCATTGGCCAACTCATAGATTACCTGCTGAAGCATGGGGCTTCTGGCTACTAATTTAAAACGTGGATCTTGTTTTTAGGCCCATATAGGCTACTACAGCATCTATTTAGCAGTCCTGGTTTCTGTGCTGCAAAAAGGTGAACATATACCTCGTCTTTCTATTTTTATTATTATTTTTTTTAACAAAGACGAGGGATTGGGCTTTTGCAGTTGAGGAATAAAACACAGCAGCTCCGAGGGTAGGAGAGGGAATGAACAACAGAACAAGTCTGAGCCTCTGAGAGGCGAAGGTACCATAAAAATTCCAGAAGGGAGAAAAAAAACAAAACGAATTGGGAACTGTGGTCTTTGCACATGTGCTCGGCTTTATGGACTCTTCTATGCTTTCATTTACCATTTACTTTCATGCAAAAGGCTCTGATATTCTCTGCTTTTTGTTTCATTTTATAAGAATTCTGCAGCAGATGTATAAAAAAATACTATGGATAGAGCCTTGGAATGGGGTTTGGTCAGATATAAAAAAGAAAAGAAGAGAAGCGATTGTTCTTCATTGCCACTTCTCCTACAAATGTAGAATTCTGGCCATATGTTTGCAATGTGTATTACACACACACACACACACACACACACATATATATATATATATATTTAAATATGTATATGATCAGATTTGCAAGAGGAGTATGTTTAATGTGTGCACGGTTAGGGATAGATATAAAGGGATGAAAGAGACTGGAAATCAATGCAAGTCTATGGGAGTTAACAGATGGTTCTCCCGTCATATAGCAAGACGAGAATGTGTGTGTGTGTGTGTGTGTGTGTGTGTGTGTGGGTGTGTTATCTAACATTAATTTATATGGAAAAAATCTCCACTCTTTCAAGTTTCTTATAAAAACGTAACCTCCCTTATCTATCCTTGTTAACATCCCGCACCAATACCAACTTTATATAAGGCTTAAAAGCCAGATTAACGGAGGACTTGCCTCTAAATAGGACTGAAATAAGGTCGTGTAATGTGCGCACAAAGGTCCTCCTAATAGCCATCATCTAAAGTATCTGCTGATTTGCATTGTTCCATCCTAACCTGCTTATAAACTATGTTTTTGTGCTCATATAAAGCCTGTATGTATGGTATTCATTTTGCCAAAGTGGCACTAACAGCAGGCTCTGAGCGGCAGGCTCTGTAGAATTATTTGATCATGTGCGTGTGATGTTTTGGGCTTCAATCTCCTCTTCCAACATTTCTTCATGAAGTCGTTCGGTTATTTCACCAGTGCAGAAAGAAAAAGTGCAAAAGAGCGAGGCCGTGCTCTGAATGGGGTTTTATTCTATTAACTGTGCCTATTTACAGCCATCTTCTAGCACAACGTGCATAACAGATTTTGATCGAATTATTCCTGTACACTATCTCTGGAGAGATTGCACTCTCAGCATGTCACTTGTTGTATTGTTTAGGAGACCTCTTTCTTTGCCGCAATGGTCGTTAACCTCCGAATGACCCCCGTGTGTGGAGCCCACGCCTCAAAACAGCACCGCAGACAGTCAGTGCAACAGTTGCGCCAGAGGATGGCGCAGCACGACAGTAGAAAAACGCCTCGCAGAGCCGAGGAGCGCATGGCAGGGGAGGCGCGCACTCCCTCCCACCCTACTAGAGTGTTTCCTACGTGCACGAGTTTACCTCTGGAGGTCACCAGGCAGGATTTACGACTGGTCAACAAAAGCACGTGATTCTGCCTCGTACCCCATATTTGGGTGCCTACGTAAGAGAGAATCAAGTCCATGTCCCACTCTCATTTCCATAATTCATCATAAATTGTGCAAGGGTGCAATAGGACGCGCTAAAGCATAAGAGCTACAAATCAAGGAGCTGCGGGTTTATGCTGTTTACTTCTCCTAAAATAATCACAAAACAACAGCAATACCTGCAGCGGACAAAAAGGTGGAACTGTCAACAAATGAGCTCCTATTTTGTGAACTCATTCTGCGGTCGCTATCCCAATGGCGCGGACTTTCAGTTACATAATTATGGAGAACATAATACCGCCAACGAGCAATACAGAGACTCCACTGCCATGCATTCCAGCAGGTATGGCTATGGCTACAACGGAATGGACCTGACTGTCGGGCGGACCGGCGGCGGACACTTTGTGGGCAGCGAGCGGACGCCCGGCTACTCCCCGACTCACACAGCGGCAGCAGCGGCGAGCCCTTCGGTGGAACCCGCCAGGTACAACCAGTCCGCAAGTGGCAACCAGAACTCGTCCCTATCGCCTCCACCTGAGCCTTTACCATGCTCCTCCTCCACGGTGGCCAGCTTGTCGCCGGGTGCCGAGACGCAACCCCAACTCAGAGCCGTGAAGAACTCCATGAGCGGCGTCCAGTGCTCTGGGTCTAACGGAGGAAGCACGCTGTTGCTGGGTCGGGACTGTGTGTCTAAGGCTTCCCCCCTTGAGGAAGAGAAGCCTGCGGGGAGCGCACCGACGACTCCTCAGAGCGCAAGCGACTCCGCACAGCCTCAGATATACCCATGGATGAGAAAACTCCACATAAGTCACGGTAAACTGCTTTAATTCTCTAATGTGCATTATATGTCTTATTTGAGGACTTGGTGTTTCTAATATTTAAAAGGTTTTGCAACTTATAAACAAATCAGGGTGAAATTTAGGTATTTTATGATATCAAGGGAATGGGAAATATATAACGAAAAAATGGCAGCAATCTCGCCCCTCACCTGTTAGCCTACTCACAGATTTACCTATAATCACCCAGTAAAACTCCCCTCTTACTGGTAATTTAAGATTGTTTTGGGGGTGAAATTGAATTTAAAAACATTTTGTGGGCTCTGTTCAAGTAATATGTATAAATTAATAGATGCAGGTCAAGTTTGTTAGTTATTTAATATAACCCTCAGTTTATTAAGTGTATTTGAATAGTGTAAAATTATTATATCTACCAAATAAAGGTTTCACTATTCCTGGAAAAATTGATTTATAGAAATATATAAAATTATGAAGCCATTTAAATATACAAAATATATACACAACTGCTTTCAGGGAAAAAAAATGTTTATTTTCTAAATGAAGATTTTCAGCAAGAATATTCAGAGTTATGCTCAAAGTTTACGCACAGATGCAAAAGTCCTTAAAACTCTCCCCTATCTGATGTGTTTCTGTCCAAAGATTTGTCTGGACCGGAGGGAAAGAGAGCCCGAACCGCCTACACCCGCTACCAGACGCTGGAGCTGGAGAAGGAGTTCCACTTCAACCGGTACCTGACCCGCAGGCGGCGGATCGAGATCGCCCACGCCCTCTGCCTCTCCGAGAGACAGATCAAAATTTGGTTCCAGAACCGCAGAATGAAGTGGAAGAAGGACAACAAGCTGAAGAGCATGAGCATGGCAGCCGCAGGCGGGGGAGCCTACAGGCCTTGATAACAGCTCACACCTTCTCGCATAAAGAAAATGAAATTAAAGAAAAATAAACTATTGAAAGTGTAAAAAGCAAAAAAGAAAATCGGGCAAAGACTTGTTGGCGGGGGCTCTGAGCCACTCCACCAATTGTAAATGCCCTCATTAACCATATATTTCCTTTATATTCTCATCGTGTTAATCATTATGCGAGTAAAATATGCATTCTGTACAGTTCTGTTTAGATTTAGGACAAAAAAGAAAGGAACGTTTAAATTATTTCTTGTTCAGAAGGGTAAAAAAAATTCAAAAGCTTGAACTTGTCCAGTAAAAATCTGTGTAATGCACTCAAAACATCAGCAGTCTAATAAATACTAAATGAATAGAAGGTTTGTGTTTAGTTCTCTCTGCACATGTACTGTATATGTATGTATTTATTTGTCTCATGTGTTGTGCCAACTCGTCAGAAAAAAAGAAACTTGCTTCAGATAACCAGCAAATAAGCGTTTTGTGTGCGTAAATGTATTGTAAACACACGTGTAAAGACATAGGTGCCGCCTCGCCCCTTTGTATGTACAGCGGAGGCACCTTGTTTTCTTAGTTGTTGTTTCTTTTTTTCTTTTTTTCAGGAGATTATGTTTGACTTATTCACCTGGGCGCAGCATAGTTAACAAAAAAAGACGTGTTTGTCCCTGTTAATTCTTGCAGTTTCTATGTGGAAGTGCCCACCTGTATGAGTTCATCGTGATTAGCCTTTTTTGTAAATGTTTTTCAAAGACTGGAAAGAGGAAAATATGCTACAATAATGAGAGGAATGATACTGATGCTCATGGTGATGATGGCTGTCATGGCCGTGATAATAAACTTTTTACTGGAACGGCAACTTTTTGGGGGTTTCTTCTTAGATCTGAGCTGCAGCGGCCCGCTGGCTGAATGTCGCGGGGCATTTGTTTGCGTTTTTTGTTGTACTATTTAATATATATTTGACTTCACACGTCTATATTTAGGCCAGAAAATTTAGATTTTGACTGTATGTACTCTATCTGCATTTAAAAATCTTCTAGAAGTGTTTAGACGTCAGTAAGCGTCCCTAAAGGCCTTTAACATCCTATTTTTCGTTAACTTCTGGTATATATTTTACTCATATTGGTTTACTTTTCTTTTTTAACTGTATTTAGAGATGGACTTATTTTCATTTTGGATTTTCCAACCGCATTTAGATATCAGTAATGAAATATATTTTTTCTTTTTTATTGATGCTTTTCTGGATCTTGAGTCTTTATCTATATTTTCTTCATCCTTTGCGTTTTTTCCATGAATATTTATATGAAACCTGACGTGTGCTGATCTCTGAAGCTAATTCTAGGGATGTGGAAAAAATATTCAACTCCAAAAAAAAACAAAAACAAACAAAAAACCAAAAAAACAAGTTTCTTCTCTTTTACTGAGTCAATCTGTTTGAATTCAACAGGTTCTCTCGTTCAATGGAAGCGCTTACTCACCTTGCTCTGGTGCTGCAAGGGACTTGGGGTGGTTAGGGGGTCGTGGTGGGGACTAACAAGCTCCATGCAGGGACTGAACAGCCCCCCCTCCCCCCATTTGCGCGCACTCTCCTGAGCAATCCCCAGCAAATTAGCCCGGCTTTTTTCCCTGGCTGTAAACTTTATTATAGGGCCGATTCTGGCTCCTCTTGACATTTGGGTGCTAAATGAATGGGGGGTTTTGTCTATGAATTAGATCGTAAAAAATCAGCCGGCAGAGCGGCCAGATAGGCTCACTGGCCATAAACGGTCACGTGGTGGGCCATTAAAGTAAGTTTTATGGTTTTGGGGAGTTGACAGTATATTGCACATAACATATAATCGCAGTGAGGGCGAAGCCTTGTCTGACTCTCCCTTTGCAGCCTCTGTTGCTCGGACTTTCCTCTCGGTGTGGACCGGACACGCTCTCTCTAGGATGAAGACCACCTCTCTGGGTAAGTTTCTCCAGACTAACCGGTAGCCAGAGAGCAGTCACCCCAGTGTTAAACAGCCGTATTATTGTATTCTCTCCCCTCTCTATCCGTCCCTATTAGTGCATTACACTAATTTGTCAGTTGTGGAGTGCTGGATACTGGTCTCGGCAGATGTTGCGCAGGGTTGAGTCCGGCTCATGGCTATTTAATTGCTTCCTTTCCTGCATAACTTGTTTCCCCTCCATCTGCGGTGTAACTCATAATCCATTTTTACATGTTGGATAATTATCTCTGTGTCCATTTCCACCCCCACAAAACTTGTCGTTTTATTACATTGGAGGACTCACAGACCGTGGAGCCAGAAATGTTCCATATAGGGCAGCAGGAGAGCGTGCGGTGTTGCTTGATAAAGTTAAGTCTTAATGCAGGCCTGCAGATGCACAATTTGAGATTGGATTGAGATTGCGCAGATTACTTTTTGGAGCCTGCATAAAGGTCCAACTCCCTGAAGGGAGAAAAAAAAACTTGTTGGAGTGCAGCGTGCGCTCCACATGTTGGCGCCGCGCATGGGTGTGGACTTTGGAGATAGCTGTAAACAGTGTCGAGTAAACACAACATAGGAAGAAGAAGCAGCAGGGAAACATTTAACAAGGAATTCCGTTTTGTGTCAAGCGTTTTTTTTTTTCCTCCTTTTGTGTGTATTCTGGGTTGAAAAGTTCAGATGACCTAAAAAGTCACTCTCGCTTTGGGGATGACCTCTTAGCTGATCAGAACAAGGGTGAAACCGGTCAAAAGTGGACAAAGCATTGAGAAATGAATATACTAAGAAAAAGACAATCACATTTTTGTTAAAACATTTTTTTTTTTTTTTGCTAGAGTGCTTACAGTAAAAGGTGTGTCATGCGCTCTTGGTTTTACAAATACTAATTATACGCGAGAATAACTGTGAGAACTGAGTCGAATAATTGGGAGCTGAGAATTTTTAAAACTGGAATACAATTGAATATTCTTAAAATTAGCATAGTTTTCTCTTTAATGTGAAATTGATGCACCTCTTACCTGCTAAATACATTAAATACTATAGGGGCTTGAGGGGCTTTTTATATAAAGCAACTTGCCATAGTTAGAGAGCGCAAAATATGACATTTTAAAGAGTACATTCAATTAAAAAAGAACAAACAACGAACAAAATGCACACCATTTGTTTTGTTTTGCTCTTGAATGAGCGAAGTTATCAGTTTCATGAGTAAAATACAGAAAATCTAATAAAGGAAATATGGTCTTAGGAAAAATATATTTGTTTCTTTTTCTATCAGTTTTCTTTCTATTATAGGTAAATAAAAACATGAAATTCTAAGTGGGAAATGTGAAATGAAACTCCATCAGACTCAAGTCTGTTCAAATATCCATTATAATGTGAGCTAGATGTAGAAAAATATATGTTTATTCTCTATGGGGTTTCATTTTTGGCACACTGAAAATCAAACAGGACGTGCCTAGAGCGCGGATCTTTGGAACCGAACCACCCCCCCTCTCTGTTCCTTTGCCAATATTTCAAATAAGGGAGACAGTTCGACAGGGCCCCATGTGCAGCGCGCTGCCAGGGTAAGATAGAGAAGGGGAGCGCTGCTGCAGGTTCATCCGGAGGTCAGCCTCTCAGCACAAAGATGAATCTGCATCCTCTCAGAGCCACCAGCAGAGCTCGCTTTAGGCCAAGTTCACTGTCACACTGCTGCATGCAGAGCAAAGCAAAGAGAATAAACCGCTTGCACACACATTCACGTCAGAATGCACGCCTTCACATTAATACCAGGTTTCCTATAAGGATAATGCACATAAATAAAGTTAGTAAAGGTTCCAGAACCTGTGGTGATGCCATAACACCAGAGGGACTGATTTGAACATAGAGAAAGTTTTCCAGTGATGCCTCCAACAAAGTGTTTTCCCTGCTTTGCTTGCTTTGATTCAAATTGATGATTTGCATATTTTACAGCCCTATCAGCCTTGAGCTGGAGCTCGATGCTGGATTGATTTCCTCCTCACTGTCGTTGGGAATTATTACAAAGAAGAAAAAGTTTTTTCCATCTTGTTTTTGGCAACTCGCCTGCTTATCAAATTTATGGAAAATGATAATTAGCACAAGTTTAAGGAGTCAACTTATTATTTTTTTTGTGTGTGTGTATTTTGGAGGAGGCTGTGGGTGGTGGCAGACATCTATCCTGCCTGCTACTGATGAGAGCGAGATACGTTGCAGAAGAGGAGGAGGAGGAGGTTGAGGAAAAATTGGGGTCAAAAGTTTACGCGCTGAGCAAGTCTCCGTCATCTGTTCATTCGGAGCTTGATGCCAGCCTTTATAATAGCGATCTTGACTCTTCACACAAAAGGCAGAATAGCTTTGCATTACATATGTTGCACGGTGCACTCCAGGTGAACCCTGGAAGCGCAGTGACCTCGCGTTAGGGACCAAGGAGGGGGTGAAAGGAACCCCCACACACACCCACACACACACAGGGGTCTCTCCTCCGCCACAGCAACAAGATTGAGTGTTTTGCGTTTTATTAGGGCGGCTGATTGGTGAATTTCCTTTGAATAAATTGCATCTGATATGTTTAGGGACGAGGGCAAAATTAGCATTTTGAGGATTGATACTCTCGACCCGGTCACAGGGTAATGAGAAGGCCCACAGCCTCCACCCTCGTCTTGAATAAGCGCCCAGATCCTTTAAAAAACATTTAGCCGCTCTTTTTCCCGATCAGATGAATAGAACCCTTTCTTAAAAGGAAGAAATGGTTTATATGGGTTTTTTGTTATTGTTGCTTTTATCAATTAAATATGTTTTTCTCTTTTGCGCATTATCAAACATCCTTCGTGTTGACTTTTTGGACCCCTTTTTTAAAATCATTTTTTTTGTTAAAAAAAAAAAAATATATATATATATATATATATATATATGTTTTTGAATAAGATTCCATGAATAATTTTGTTCTCCCCAGCATTTTATTTTGTTGGAATAATTTCGAAAAGATCGTTGTACCATCCATATAAACAGTGGGAAAATGGGGATGAAAAGAGAAAATATTTAAAGACCAAAGGGGGTTTATAGAAGTCTAAATATTGTGCAATAGTAGAAATAAGCTGCACAGACTTTTTTTTCTTTTTCCCCTTAAAATCAAATATGCTCTAAAACTTAAATAATAGGAAACTGATGTTCTGCAGCATAAACCCACCTCGTGAAATTACCGAACATGCTCATTAAAGGGAGAAGAAAGAAGCTGCGTTTCTTAATGGAAACAGGGCCCACATTGGAGCAATGGGGTAAAAAAAATAAAATAAAATAAAAAAAATTTATTATAGACACCACGTTTGTTTTTAAGTGTGTGTGTTGGGGGAATGGTGGTGTGTGTGTTTTGGCCTAAAAAATAGGAAGAATACCATCGAATTCACATGGTCAAAGAAATAAAGAAGATGAAGATGGGCGTACAATATTTAAATACTTTAAATGAGTTCAACATTAAAAGAGGACCTTCATATCTATATACAGATAAGACACCTTTCACTCAGACTAAATTGTACAACTTAAATAAAATAGCTGTCAATAAAAAACAAATGATGAACCACACACTTGCATGTTTTTAAACTGTTTTTAATTTCTTGTAATGCCACAAAAACACTATTACACATATGCCATCTGTAAGCAAAGACACCGAATCCAAAAATGTAAACAGTTTATATTTTGGATTTATTTTGTTTATTACAGTTATACATATAAAAAGGAATGGAAAGGAAAAGTGTTATTGAAAAAAAATATATATAAAAAGCATGCATCTTTTCTTCTTTGGGACGTTTTTGGGAGATAAATGCACACAGTACAATTTTTAAGAATTATTATTCTATTTGTTTTATAAACAGCTATAAGGTTGATTATGTTAAAATGTGTTGTCAAACAATTTGAAGAAGCTTTTGTCTCTTTTGGGCCTATATGAATAATACAAAACAAAAAAAGAGCCCCTTTTTTCAGCTTTGGTTGTCTGGTTTGACTCAGCTTGACATCTTGTGATTGTAGTTACACGTTTATATCCCATAAATTATTTTTTCCCACTATTTTTAATCTACGTGTTGAAACCAACATGATTAATACGGCTTTATATAATAAGATTTTACTATCTAGAGTGAATTTATTAAGTGCGTTTTTTATTTTTGCAAAAACTTTTGCACACAAAATGACTCGACTTTTTATGCAGGTAAAGAAAAACCCAAAAACGTCATGTTTTCAACTAAGAACGTAAATCTCATGCAGTCTAAACTAGCAGCTGCAGAGAAACATTAATGACCCTAATTGCTAATTGTTGCTGCTCTAACCAAGTGGTGAAAACACGATGCATACCGTACAAACGCGATTAAACTAGAAATGCCAGCCTTAACCACAATGTTTCCTTAAGAGCGTGAAAGGTGCGTATTTCCGCTCAGATCACTGCCACTTCTTCACATTTTTCTTTCCTATGCAGACAGAAGACCTTGTGAGAGAGTCATGTGCGATCTGTCACCATCGCCTCAAAGCACTTCTCTGATAATCTAAATTTACAGTATACTGTCAGAGTGATATATACGGGCTGACTGAACCTTCACTTCAATGTGTATGCGCTCATATCCAGTTTATACAATAGGAATACTGAAATTTCAACTGGAGATCGTTGCGGTTTTAGGAGTAATTTTCAATTTTAGATCTCGTGGAAAATTGCACCGATAACAGACTTGTTATCACCTGCTTCCACTTGGTTTCGTTGGGGAGTAGATTAGTTTTATGTTGTTTAGTTTTGGCAAAGATCTTCCCAGGAGCCATTGGGCACAGGCGCCCCGCATTGCTCAGGCCTAAAACAGATAACAGGGGTAATCTGAAGCTGTTCACTCTAAAGCCTTTCTAATAACTGCGTTTCATAAAGGTTGTTCTCGGTGTATATATCAGCAACAAGTAGAATGAGCCGTAAAACACGCGGCTGCTTATACTCCAGGAGGCTTAATTTACTGTAAGTGGATAACAACTGAGCTGACCAGCTTTATATTTATACTGGACCCGTGTTAGAATAGAAAGGCAGCAGTGTGTGAATTTAGATATCATGTGTAGCCCTCTTACCCGCCGACATTATGTTGACACATTGCCTCTCAGGTGGTCCCTGCAGCCGTGCAGGATGCAGCGAATCTCCAGCATGCCAGTTGCAATGAGTTAGGATGGATACGCAAACAGATCTGGCTCAGTGCGCACAGGCCCGGGTTGTTTTCAGGGGGGTTTGAATCCAAAATCTGATACTTTTCTGGAAATAAGTGCTGCGGGAAATAACCGGACGATCCCTCCTTTACATGCAATTTATGTCCAGACGTTTGAATTAACAATATCAGCAACACAAAATTCCTTGAGGAACCTCCTTGTTTGTTGAAGTCCCCCCCTCATCCCCCCCAAATACTTAAAGACAGCCTTGCAAAACTGAAGTCCAAGTCCGGGGTGAACCCCAGGTCACTGCGTCTAAGAGATATGAAAATGTCGCCTCTTTGGAAGAAAAAGAGGGGGCAACGCCTTGTTGTTTAACAAAGACTGTCAATGGGCAAGATTAATCAGAAACAAAATGGAAACGGTGTCACTTCGGGGTCAGGCAGAAGTTATCTCTGTGTAGGGGACCGTCAAAAAAGAATAGGGGAGAGGCTGAGCAACAGCAGAAGAGAAAAACACAGGGAGAGAAAAGATGAAGAAAAAAAAAAAAGAAAGCTTTTGGTATTTCCGTAAGTTTTGTTTGCTCCTTTTGGTTCTCCCTTGCAGAGGCCTTGTCGAGATGGATCAGATCCGAGAGGAGCTGCTGCTGCTGCTGCTCCATCCTTGAAAAATACGGATACAGAGGGTCATGTCGGATAAGGAGCGGAAACTGGACGTGGACATGATGGCAGATGGCGAGCAACACGGTCAGACACACTTTTTATTATCTACTAAAAAGAAAGCGACATGTTTTTATTTCACTTTGTCAGATTTTTGCATTTTGTTACATTGTAACACGTTCAGATTGCCACAGATGACACGTATTGTGAATTGGCTCTATAAAAATAAGCTGAATCTCTAAAAATCATATCCTCATATTATTATGTTACTATTAAATGTTATTATTAGTGTTGTTATTATCATAATTATTATAGCCTTATTACTATTAATATTATTATTAAACTTCTTAACTTAGATTATTTTTTTTTACTAAAGTTGCTTTTAATGAATAAAAGATCAAAACATATTCCATTAGTTTGAATAGTAAATTGTTTTGTTTGTTTTTGGAATATTTCTTATTAGGTTTAACATCATATATAACTTTATTCAAACTTACAAGTACCAGTAAAAGATGTGATTCTCCTGATGAGTCACGCAGACTTTAATTTCTGACTTGCAGCTCTCTATATACGCTGCAGGATATTTGCTTTGGCCTGCCGCAGTAATGCACATGCAAATCCCATCTTTTTACTGTTTATCCAATTTATTAGCCTTTTTGATGGCACTTGATGCAAGGATTCGCACGCTTTTTGCACAACGCACGTTTACTCTACACTACATGGATATGCATATAGGCCTTTCGTCATGTGCTGTCAAACAACTACATTATTTCTCCTTGTTTTAGTAACTCGTCGAGCTAACAGGGACGGGTTTTGCAGTGTTACAATTGTTTTAAAATTAAAAAACCTTTTTAAAGGGGTTTCTGCAGGTTGCTTGTGTGTGTTTTGTATGAATCAGGAGAGATAGGGCATGTTTAAAGGATGCGCGTGCCTATGTACGCTTGGGAGCAGCTTTTGGCATCTGTTTTCTTTTCCAACCGATCATTTGGATCTGCTCACCATTACAAATTGTATTGCATCTTTGGGATGCAACAAATTCCAACTGCAAGAGCTGATGTTTGTGGGGAGCAGGACTTAGATTACAAGCTTTCATGTGAGATGGAGAGGCTCACCCACATAAGTTTGGACTCATGCAGTAAACAACTTAGCCGTTTACTTTCTTTTGCTTTATATGCTGTGATTTAATAAGGAAAACATGAACGTAAGCCAGTCCTGGCGCTGCTGCTGGTACCAGTGCCATGCTTTCCATTGGTTCCTGTTTACATGATGCCCACAGGACACGCGGTGATTGGTGGCCTCCTCGCACGTGACCAGACAACTTTGTACATTTGACAGGGGGGAGTAGGAGGGTTTTGTGGAGATCAGAAAAACGACAGCGCGATAAAAATTAGTATTGTTGCACTTCACAAATTAATGACCATGAGTTCCTACTTGATAAACTCCAACTACATCGAGCCTTCCTTCCCACCATGCGACGAGTACCAGCAGAGCGGATATATCCCCAGCCACGGCGACTACTACGAGCGGCCAAAGGATACGGGCTTCCCCCATCACGACGAGCAAACCTATCCGAGGTCAGGCTACGCGGAGACGGGTTACGACTACGGCAGCGTGCCCTCAGCCGCAGCCGCCGCTGCAGGACTCGACGATTTCAGCGATGGACACCACGCACAGCCGCAGCCGATCCCACAGAGCCATGGTGCTCGCCTCTCCGCGGCGCCAGACGGTGGCGCAGGGGCAAACGGGAGCAAAGACTGCAGCCTCGCCGGTGAGGTGTACCCCGGCGTGGCGAAGGGCAAGGAGCCGGTGGTCTATCCGTGGATGAAGAAGGTCCACGTTAGCAGCGGTGAGTCCACAGCCCATGGAAAGGCATGCTTGAGCCCACTGAGGCAGCACTAGTAGCATCCCTTACAACAGCAATTTACGACTATCGAGCAGCAGGGTCGGTAATTAAGGACCCTCGTAAATTTTATTGCCTGTGTTCGTCTGTCTGGGGCCGTGCGCCTTTGTTGCTTTTTAACCCAAAGTACCTTCCAGCACTGGAGGCGAGCCAAAGTGTTATATTCCGCCCTGCTGTTTTTGTTAATCATTCCTAAGCTTGATGTGTCCCTGGATAGGAGTACTTGTACACATTCTCTTCCGTTAAGGAGAGGAGAGTTTAAAAAGGGGCTACAGAAACGTGCTGCACAGTTTATCCACTATGCATGTCCAGTGGGCACAAATAAGACGAATAACACCTTCTTAAACATGCATGTAACACCTGCCTCCCCCTCCCCTTCTCCCCTCTCCCAGTCAATGCCAGTTACAATGGAGGGGTGCCCAAGAGGTCCCGCACTGCCTACACCCGCCAGCAGGCTCTGGAGCTGGAGAAGGAGTTCCACTTCAACCGCTACCTGACCCGGCGCAGGCGGGTGGAGATCGCGCACACTATGTGTCTGTCGGAGCGCCAGGTGAAGATCTGGTTTCAGAACCGTAGGATGAAGTGGAAGAAGGAACACAAGCTTCCCAACACAAAGATTCGCTCCTCGTCCGGTTCGGCCTCTTCATCAGCCTCCGGGCCCCAGCAGCAGCAGCACCAACAGCAGATTAAAACAGGCCAGCAGCTTGTCCCAACGCCGTGCACAGTTGGTCTATAGTTTCTAGAATATTATACCCCCAACCCCCCCATAATCCAGACTGAGATGGCGAACAACACAAGTGGAATTCGATGGACCGATTTTCAGTATTTTACACTCATGGTGTTATATCTCTGTAAGCTTGCACATTGGGCCTGTGCCACGTCCTTTGTACACCCTTTCGTCCTCAGCCCTCTTCATATAAGCTTGAAAAAAAAAATCACCTTTAATTGCCACGGTGGCAAGTGAAGTGTTTGTTTGTGGATGGAAAGGAAGTGAGGAAAAGAAAAAAAAGAAGAAATCCAAACGCACATTCAGACGTATAGAACTTGGATCACAAAGTGTGTATTATTGCAGTCAAAACTGAGTCAGGTGAAAGTAAGTTTGGGGTTATTTTTTCTATATGCTCTCTACGATTACTATTGTTTTTTTTAAAAGACATTCGCTCATGGAAATTTCTAACATACTTGAAAGATATTTAGGATACTCTGTAGATGCCTGTTTATTTAGAGAGGGGGCGTCAGTCAGAGAAACAGAAGTGTAGTTCGTGTGTTTGACTGGGTTGGTTCTTACTGTTGAATGTATAGTCCAAGTGACGTTCACATCTAATGTAAATAGACAAATCCTACCTAATGAAGGCACAAGGAGGAAAAAAGGCGTTTTTTTGTGTCAAGTTCTGTCGGTGTTGTACACAAGGTCCAAATAGATTCATTTGTGCTCTCGTGCGTCCTTATGCTGTGTTGTGTTCTAAACTGTGAATATTTGTATGTGCTGTCTCAGTAATGACCAATGTAATGTAGGCTATATAGTGTAGGTTATAATTGTCCTTGTGAAATAAAAATATGTGCACCACTTACGAGGCTGACGCTGTTGTGGATGTTTTTTTTATTATTTTTTTCATCGCGAGTATTGATTTCACTTGAGCGCGATTCTTGACGCCGTTCCTTTGTTTATGTGTGGCTCTACATGGATGTGTACAGGTCATTTTTATAGTAATCTTTACCAAATGTTATGGATAAAAATGTGGAGTTAAATAAAGCTATCGAGAAATTATTTTGCATCTTACTAAAATCTATATGTCCGTCATTATCTTTTTAATATTCAGTTGTATTTCTCTAGCCTAAAAAGAAAAGATGCGTGTTGTTTGTCCTGTGTGTCCAGACCAAATATAACCTGAACAAAGATTCAGACAGTTGGCTTGCGGATCATTTGACTGACTTCGAACAGCTCCTGCATTTTGACGTCAATACACATATTTTCACCTTTCAATTTTCTACTGGTTTTATGATATTAAGACAGAGGCTCAAAGAAAACATGCGTTCTGATAAGAATTATTAGATCCTCGATTTATAATATTTTCCAATGTGTATCAAAACAAAGGTTTTTTTCTTATTTTGCTTTGTTTTTTTTTATATAAAATCTTATTTAAATAAAATATTTTCACCAAATTCATGTATTTTTGCAACGAGATTTGACTTGGACAATAATGCGCAATGCTGTGTGTTTTTTTTCTATTTGGAAAAAAGATAAAATTGTTATAAAAATGATTATTTTCGCCGTGTCACTTTTGTTAAGACATCTGTTTGCATCATTTCGTTGTATTTCTCATCGCCTTCCTCGTCTGAGAACTAAATTTTCTTGGATTAGGAAGCGATGGTGGCTGAAACGCATGATGCAAACGCAGATGGGTTTAACTGGCAGCAATTATTTTTAATCAAAAGAAGAGAAAAACCACCACAGCTTCCACCTTCACTACAAATGTTTGTGGAAAAGTGAAAGGTGAAAATATGCAGTTAAGATCTTTATCATTGTCTAAATGTTGTTGTAGTTAATCTCACTCTAATTTTCCACTTTTTTTTGGGCTGAATATGGGATTATTTGTAGGGGATTTTTTAACAACAGCTTCAGCTTTTGACTGAAATTAATTAAACTAGATCTTTAGTGCATGGACATTCCGAGTTTAAGACATTGATTACACCAAACCTGAACTATACTGCATATCCTGTCACCCATATTGTTCCCACTTTGCCAATCCAAGGAGATGTCAGCCAGCCTTAGAGTACCAAGAACGTGAGTGTTGGTCACTACCTGCCCCGTCCAAACAATAGAGAGTTCAGCCAGGGGACAGCGGCAGCCACTGACCAATCACAGGCTCCAAGCACTTCTTCTGACCCATGACCTTTCGACACACACAATGTTCAGACCATACATCAGCGCCGAGACCTCCGTCATTTCATTGAGATCTATCCAAAGACGGCGTGCCAAACAATAACCGTGTTTAAGTGTGAAACTGAGCCATGAATTTTCCCAAAATGATTCCAAGAGACACTTCTTGTGCATGTGCAGATTATCACAGGGGGAGCGCTGGCAGGGCCGGGAGGAGAGGGCGCACATGAGCAGAAACATGCTGAGATTCTTCATGTTAGGGTGCATAAATTTCAGAATCTGTTGGCATGTGTTGGTTTAAGTCCCATAAATACTTTGACAAGTTTATTGATTATGGGTTTCAAGAGCGTAAATCGTAAACTACATTTTAATTTCAAAATACAAGAGACACAAACAAGCATCTTATTTTCTGTAACCACATTTATTCAGAAAAAAACATAGAAAACATGAATACATTTCGCAGCAAAAACTCCCTCCTACACTTTGGGCTTGAGGAATGACACCGCCTGATTGGCACCTACTTTACGCAGACGTCCAAATATATAGTTCAATTACGTATTTCAAGTCATTTGATTCGCGAATAGAGGTCACTTTCAGAGTGCTGAAATTTTAATCTCTTCTTGTTCACGTGACTTGCTGAATAATGAATGCCCCGGGGGGTCAGAAATAGATCTGAAAATCTGACTTAATTTCATTTGAAGTGATGCTCTGGAAGGTGCAAGTCACATTTCCTTCCTCTGACAGAACTTCTGGCTGCCGAACCATCATGACTTGTGAGTAGATCTGCTGAGGTTTTTGCATTGTTGGAGAGAGGATGATTGCGTGTAAAATATGTTTGAGTTGTATTGTAAGATTTCTGTATAAAGTCTTCATATATTCATAAGATAAAACATAGCATATTTTCAAATACTTGCATTTCGAAACCATCAGTAGGTAGAATGAGGAAGTGATTAAAGAAAACAGGTGTGGATCTCACTACACACTCTGTAGTGCTCAAATAAATAAAATAACAATGCTGAAAAAGTTTAAATATTTAGATGTGAAATTATTATTATTATCACAATTATCAATATTATCCATGGCATAGAATCTTTATTTATGGTAAACGCCAACAAGTATTGCTCAAAAAGGGAATTTGTGCCTATGTTGGATATATTTAAGCATCTTCAGTTACTTTACCACTATTGTTTCATGGCCAAACCTGCTGACATGGATCAATAGTGTTAAAGTAATTAAAGGTGCTTAAATATATACAACAAATGCATGAATTCATTTTATGAGTATGGCTTGAAGATGCGTATATCAGGATGCATAGAATGGGTACCAGGTTTTATGCTTGCATAATCAGATTATTCTTCGGAAATATGTACTCTGCAACACAAATATCACTTCAAGGCTTTTAGTTTCAATATTTTGTCGTGCATTTTGGATGACAGCAAACTTTGAAAAAAAAATGTTTTTTTTTTGTGAAAGTATGCCTTTCTCAGCATGCAGGAAATCTGTCAATGTTACTCGCAGTTGTTGTATTATATGCATAGGGTATTCATACATGGAATTCATACCTGTATGTATTTTTACAGGTTACAAATTGGACGAATGAAAATTGCCTGAAAAAGGATTTTATATCAAACCATTGCTTAGAAAATTGAAGGATAAGGCAAAGGCTTGTTGCTATTTTCTTTATAAAGGATATATTTGAAATAATTAATTTATTTTTTCTTAAATATAATCTTGGCTCCAATGGGCTTAATTTATTCTTTGACTATCATAGTATACACCATTAAAATTGAGGAACCTGCAAGGCTTATCTTTGTCTTTAACTCAGAATATAATTTCATCATTATTATTCTTCAGGTAAATCTTGTAGATTCTACTCAAAAACGCTCACTAAAGCTTTTCCATGGTAAAAATATAAGAGCCACTTCAACAAGCCAATCTAACTTCCTTTATTACAACCACCTCCAAGCAAACAGTTCCTCTGTCCTGGTTGCAGCGTTGGTCTGGGGTTAATTAGAGATGGCTCCACTCAGCTTGAGGCGTTGAATTTCGCATTAGTCTTGATGTTGGCCGATGTAAACCTCGCTACAGCAGTTATCTTCGGCTGAGAGGCTCGGTAACCCAAGCCTGGCTGTTAAGAGCTCCGAGTGTCAACATTGTGGGAAGATATGGCCCGCCGTCTGGCCGACATCCAGAGGGTCTCTGCGCCTGCAGCTCCTCTTTGTGCTGACAGAGATAAGGAGCCTTGATTTGTGGAAATACATCTGGAAGCATTTGTGTTATTTTGATTAAATGCGTCATCTATCATGTATTGCTTTTTTTTCTCCCCTGTTTTCTTTTTGCAAGCAGCAATGAGTTGGAATGCTATCCTATTAAAATTTTAAAGGGGATTCAAAGTTAGCAAATTAGAGGCTTGGATGTCTGACTTCCCACTCAACTCTGCAAGGGTCAGGGGAAAGTTCAGGTGCGGTGGCGACAGGTAGGAGGGGATTAACCTGCAGAACACCCCCAGGCAGTTCGACAACCATTTGTGTAGCCTGGATCTGCAAAAAAAGAAGAAAAAAAAACGCACAATAACATATTTATTTAAAGTATATGAGAAAACATTTTGTTGTTTTCATCGCTGAATACCATTAATACTCAACACAAAAACAAAAAATAACCGGATTTTGCTCTTGACTTTAAAAAGTTTGCCACTAGGGTTGGAGCAGGAGAGGACAAAAGGCATAATGTGGGAGTGGGATGGAGCCTCTGTCCGCCTCGAGTGATTAATAGTTGTGGTGGGGATTTTTCCACGCCCGCTGCACGGTGTTGACGGAAAACAAGCGCCAAACGGTGCCGAGAGGAGAGAATCTCTTCCGGGCTACGAGTTTTTGGGCAAATGTGTCTTGTAGGCGCGTACGCTCCCCTCTATCCATAACTTTTAAATTAATCCATTCAAGCCTACAACTACTTTTACGGACAATGTTGAGTGAGTTGATCCATGTTACTCTAAAGGGGGTCCATGTACTGACCAGCGGGGTCGAGCCGCCTCTGTTTGGTCACCTCACCTTTCCTTTCCGCCCACCGCTGACTGACAGACGCCCTTCACGACCACCAGGACTCTCAGCCTCTCCGTGTGTGACAGGTAAATGTGACAACGTTTGGTTTTTATTTGCCCCTGTAGTGTGCGCACTGCGCTGATGGGGAGCTCAGAGGCTGACAAAGTGGTATATACTAATGTACAAGTGTCAGGATGAGAACAGGGGGGGCGGTATTGAGTTGAGCGCTGTGAAATACACCCATGCAAAGCAAGGCAGTGGTAGAATACAGAGAAAGCTGTAAGTGTGCTTGGTATTCTTTTATTTGGGCAGCTTTCTCCCATCACCAATTCGCTTGGACCTGTGCAGCTCTCTTTATCCGCTAACAGGCACCGAATATATGGCGCTCTAAAAGTGTCAAAGCAGCTCCTTTCTCTCCTCTGAATGGGGCGACACGTGGAAAAGCTGCTTCTCAGTGAGAGGCTTGCTCCTCAGCCAGATACATTGCACTATCACACAGCCTCTCTTTTTTCTTCTTCTTCTTTCTCCCCCCTCTCAAAGCCCGATCCGTTTCTCCTCAGGGGCAATGACTGCCTCCATTAATGATTCACGGACTCAAATAAAAGGGGATTTAAGTTGACGTTGCGTCACGTGAGCAGGGCGCATAATACCGCGCGGTGTTATGGCACTGGAACGAAAACCGGAGCACCGGTCTGGCCATATGATGCAGATTATATGCTGGTTACCCCTACTTTCCAGGAAAGGAGCCCTTGCTTTGTAGTTTTTTTTCTTTCTTTTTTTTTTTGTATATAAAAAAAAAGGAAAGAAAGAAACTCGATTCAAGCCGAGCAGAAGAGGAGAGGATCCCTGGGTTTTGTGGATGTATTCTGTTGTCACAGACGGATATGTGTTTTTGTTTTTTGTTTTTTTACCACACGGACGGGAGTCGGAGCCCGAGCTTTGGGAGGATGGATTTTATTTTGAGGTATTTCCGCCGATTGTTCATTACTGTCGTGAGTTATTGCTGCGCCAAGCAGAGGTCAGTCAGAAAAGGGGGGGTTGTATTTTTTTGGAGCACAAGAAATATCAAGAAGCTGTGCATAAGAACTGTTAACATAAAAAAAAATCTCCAAATACATTATTCTCTGCGGTTGTGACAGTATCGCGGACGCACAATTAATTTCACTGCATATAAAACACCATAACAACACAGTTCATATCAATAAAGCCTTTTTATTAGATAAATAGGCCAACGTGAGTAAATAAAGCTTCCATTTATTCCGACTTCTAGCAGACTCCCAAAACAGAACAGCTCACCGACAGTTCATGGAGTCAACCTGTCCCATAAAACTAAAACAGCACAGTGTCTTTAAGCTGGTTTATGTGCCGCACCCGAACGTAAACGATGCATCAAGACGAATTCCATAAAAAAGGGGAAAGAAGATCAAATCGAAGGAGCTAGTGGAGAGCGTTGGGGTTGTTGTTGTGTCGCTCCGCCGTGGGGAAATGAGGATATAATGGAAGACGGAGTGCCATCTAGGACCGCCGCGGCCGCGCTAAGGTCACGGAGCTCCAGCTTTGATTTATGGGCGCGGGGACTTTGGGAAGCTGGTGAGCGCCAGCTAATGACTGTTCGATCCGTTTGGTTCAGAGGATGAGGCAAATACGTTATTTGCATATGAAACATTTGTTTTTGTTCTTGACTTATTTGCATTAAGCAGCATTATTTATATAGCAGCATTTTATATTACCAGGTTAAGATATTGTAGATATATTCATATATGTTTCTGTTTATGCATATCTATTGGGGTGTTGCAACATTTATTTTAATTCAGTTCAACAAAGTATTTCAATCTGACAAGCTACAAAAAAAAAAAAAAAAAAGAAGAAAAAAAAAAAACTACAAAGCAAGGGCTCCTTTCCTGGAAAGTAGGGGTAACCAGCATATAATCTGCATCATATGGCCAGACCGGTGCTCCGGTTTTCG